ATCTGTCACGAACGCTTTTTAGTTTTTTGGATATAAAAAACGGAAAAGCGTTTTTTAAAAGGTTTATTGGTCTCAATAAACCCTTTTTGATAGTTTATTAATCTACGACTATTTTTTACAGTGTACTATCGGATCAATCGAGTAGGCTGTCATTACAACTCCAGCAGCCAAACGCTGCACACCATTGAAAAGAGACCAATGCGATTTATATGAATTGTCGTAGAGAACGCAGGCGTATTTATGTGTCGGTCGAACACACTCTTTACAAAGACGAAGACAGACAGGTGCCGTGACGAATACCCTTGTATTGCTCATTGCTGTTGAAGATTACCTCTAAAATACTCGTAATGCAAGAAAAATAAATCTGTTTAACTTGAACAAGGTTTTGAAACTTTCTTAATAATTGTTGTTGTATGTTTCCTGCATCATGGCTGATATCGAAAGAGGCCTGTCTCGATAAGCAAAAAGTGTTCTACAGTATCAGTTTTAATAATGAAAAATGTGTTAAAGTATAGAGGAGATTGATAAACATATGTAGACTATATAACTAGAAATTATAAATAACTTTACTTATAGACTATACCAATGAGATAAAAAGTAGTATAGTTGAGATATGAACATAAAATAAATGTCTTTAAAAAAGTCACCGGTCGAAAACCATCTGTCTTTTTATCTAATTGTTTCATTTATGTTTTAACGAAAGTTGAGATATTGAATAAAGTTCACCACTTCGAGTAGTCTAAAAAAAGATCAACAGTGGCATCAAATAGATAAGCGAGCTTCAGAATTACCATTGTTTTCGTGTGTGACATTGAACGTATCTGTTTCTGTTTCAAATTTTCGTTATGTTGAGGCTTGGAAACTGAAATTTCTTTTGGTTTTGTAGAACGTGGTGTATCTTGTTTAGCTTTTTCTCTACAATTAATATTATTTTTTTTTTTTAATATACCTCGATATAATTATGGAAAAACTATATTGTTACCTTTGTTTTTCTGCTCTGACCATTCGACATATTTTAGCCGCTCTTTCAATCTCATCATCATATGTTTCCAAATGTTTTGGTGGATATTTTGTTATTTGTGTATGTGGAATGTAAAGTTGTAAACCAGCATTTTTTAACATGTGACTTGAACGTAGAAATTTTTCTGTTAATGGACTATTACCATTTAAATCAAATAGATAGTCTTCAAATATTACACGACGACTAAAATAATAAGATAATAACGATCATTTATAAAATGTATAAAAATGATGTCCCAAGATGACGACAGTCATGCATAAAACGAGAAGACAATATATGTCACATCATCCTACTAATCAAGAGTTTTTCATAGAGTTCAGAGATATATAATTAAGCTGCAAAGTAGATCTATAAAATATGTGCTATATAATCAATGTATAAGAGATTTATACATATCTAACATCATACGTACTACTAACTAAATAACTAAACAGATGAATTAAAATAGACAAATTATGAATCATGCAATATCAAGCTACAGATGAAAAAAAGTCTATATTTCATGCAATATCATATAAAACAGATAATTCTATAAGTAGCATGCAAAAAAAATAGTAGCAACGTAGTTATAAGCAAACACATATCCAAACCTGATTCATTGTTGAATGACCATGTAAAATCTTATAATAAAAAAGGTTAGAATAACATATTTATGTACAATACAATCTACTGTAATAAAAAAGATTTTTATGATCATTATTTGACCAGAATAAAATATAATAAAATATTATAAATCAAGCACAATTGTGAGTCAGAATGTATAATGATGGCTACGATTTATCGTAGCTGTTGAACGTTGAAAAAATACTTAAGGATATCTATTTATTTTATATTTAATTAATCATTACTCGTAAAATAGTCAATTTAGAACTATTACTTACTCTGGTAATGGATCATTGGTATGTTTATAAATATCTCGTAATACTTCTTGTGGTTGTTTTTTTCGTTTTGATGTTATATGAGAAGATATTGTACTTTCAGTTCCAGGCTTTGATGGACTTGTTGTTAGGACCGATGATCCACCGTGGGTCGATTGTTGAGATGAGCTCGTATTAGTTGTTATTTGTGTCTGAGTTTCTGTTTCAAATGATATTTTTTCTTGATGAACTATTTTTGAGCGCCATTGTTCATATTTTCGAGGTAGTGCGGGTAGACCACCTGTCCACAGTTGACAAATATTTGATATGTCATTTTTAAATTGATCTAAATCTACAAGTTGCTTAATTCGTTTCTCAGTTAACATATTTTCATCCATATCCAATGATTTGGATTTATTTTGGTTTGCAGTTGTCTTCTTCTCACTATCATAAAAATCAGGCATTTGTTTGATTGATTGAGGAAAACAAGCTTTGAAACATGCAAATACGGTTTCAGCTAATAATGATGGATAAACCTGTAAAAGAAAAAATCGATTACTAATCAAATAAGATCATCGCTTTTAATCATCTGAAAATTTTTTAACAAAAGTGGAAGTACATCAGACATTTTTGATTAGCATTGTACTGTGATCGTTGCTTTTAATATTTCCTACCTGAAAGCATTTATCACGATATCGAAGATCTAATTCCATCATCAATAAAGCCACATAACTATTAGAAGCCCGTTCTAATAATTTCTTTTGTACTTTTGGTAAATTTTGATATGTTTCTATAAATATCCACCAAAACATATCCTGAAAAAAATCGGAAACATTCAAATTAGAAACCCTCTTTGTTTATTTGTTTATCAAAGTACCAGTATTAATGCTTTTGATGGCACAGAATAATAGAGATCGATCAATGGCTTGATGTGAGGTGACTGTAAATGATGACACACAGTTAATATTTAAACGACTACTTGCTTTTTACTCTGTACTTGTTTTGAAAGAACATATTGTTTTGGCAAAACATGCACCATCACATTTCGTTCGAGAGCAACGTTAAATGGAAGTGGAGTAATATGATTTTCCTCAAAACCTGGAAACTGATAGACTTCTAAAAGTGTCGATTGCTCTTGTTCATTCGCCACATCCTGATAAACAGCCACATGTTGAGTATAACTTTTTGATTTCAGTGGCTTTAGAAAAACGTACTTTTGCCTTTACAGCAGCTGGAATTTGATCTTGAAACACCGATTTCAATGCGAGAACGCCAGCAAATTGTTGTACTTGACGTCTTGATTGAGCTAAAGTATGAGGAAGAAAATACACCAACTTAATACAGTAGCCGAAACAAACATCGTATTAACTACACACCAATTTGTACAGCTTTCTCTTTGAGTGCCGTAGATGAAATTGACGCATTACTGTTGAATGTTTTGCTTGTCGACGGAATATCAACAGATTTCAATGTCTGGTCAAGTTTTGCTATTTTATTATTGATCAAATCAACGATATTAACTCCTTTGAGCGCTAAAATCACGCGTATGTTATTCACGTATATAGTCAAAACAACTTTATATATAGAATAATCTATTCTGAGAAGACTGAAATACACTCGAATTTTCTTTTAGCGATAGACGTACGTGTGCTTAATGCTGCTTTCAAATCAAGGTCTGAATCATCTTCGGCATTAATTGATTGTCCGTCACTTTCAATTGTTGAAACTGCTGACGATACACGAGGTCTTGCTGGAGATCGAGCGTCTCCTGAACGAGTAGACGCACTTCGAACCCGACTGGATGAATCAGGTCGAGCTTCAGTTGATGGAAAGACGACGACTGGAGTAAATGTCCTCGTAATGTCAGCCATTTCTAACGTTCTCACATCTAGTGTTGCGTAGAACAGCTTTCGTCATGTACATTCCTAATAAAATAAATGTACATTAAATAAATAAAATTGCAAATTTACTTAATCTTAATTATGGTAAACAGTTTCTTTTCAAATAGTTGGTCTAACGAAGGTAGTGAACCTGTAGCGACAATGCGAATGGAGCTAATGTTGTATGAATTTATTAACAAGAAGTGTTTATTACAAAGCAAAAAATTCATTGTGAGTGAGCTTATCTATTGCTTTCTATAATTCATACTGATTTAGTGGCAGTTGAGGTTTTCTCCATAGTTTTAAACATGAAAATGGTTTTTGGCAAACCACTCGCATGATTTGCAGAGGTCCCATATAGGATGAAGTTAGGGAAAACGCTGGAGAAAAATCGCTGCAATCGGCGTAAAATCTCACATAACTACACTGATAGTAGCGCTCTCCTCCAGCGTTTCTCCTCTAGCTTATCTTAACACCCATATTGCAATTCCAGATGCAGTAGCGGATACACTTTGAATCAAACTCAGAAGTAGAATCGCACCGTCTTTAATGCAATAGCTGTAAACAACTATCGCGGGAATGCTGTACTTGGCTAAGCCAAGTACAGCATTCTCGATCGCTTTTTCACACATTCGAAGTGTGTGAGTAGAAACTGAGCCATTTCTCCGTTTGACGTAAAGCGGTTCTGAAGTATTGAGAACTATAAGACTGAATTCCAGGCTCACCGATTCTTACTCGTACATAGAAGCTTACACGCGAAATACATATTATTCATTAGCATTAATATACCGCCTTTTCATTTTGCAATTCTCAAAACATCTCGATTAAGATTATCTCTGTTTTCTTGAACATGTTAAACGGCAAACTCTTATCTGATGAATTTTGTTTATTTCTCAAATCTTTTTTTATTCACATTATTTATTAATGATTTTTCTACTTTACATTGTACTACGTTTCTATTTTAGAATAAAACTGCTTGAAAATGGCCGTTAATTTACGATCAAAAGCTTTAAATCGTTCTGTGAAAGTGAATTCAGCAGCATATTATTCGTATATCGAAGATGTTCATGGTGCAAATAAAAATCCTGTTTTACAAAGTTTCGAACGAGAAATACAAGATTTCAAAAATTATGTACAAAAACAAAAGACAAATCGTTCACTAGGAAAAGAACTAAACGAAAGTAGACTGTACGTAAGAATTATTTGTAAGAGATCTTTAAGAATATAATATTTTTATTCTCATTCAAGATCTGAAACATTATTTAATTTATGGGGTAGTTTTCAACCAAGAGTATCAGTACGATATTATTGTGAGAAATTGATGGAATTAGGAGAATATTTAGTTCTACACGAGGTAAAGTATAATTCGATTATGCCTACAAATTTTAGACAGATGATCTTTTCTTCAATTTCAGTTCTGTATTTTGTATACTTTTTGCGAAATTGTGTGTAAGCGACTATAAATGTTTCAAAACAGAAGAAAGTTTTATAGTTTTGAAGTCAAGTTTTATTTTTGAGTACTTCGGAACAGGTCCACCCGGTATTACATGACGTGGAAGCCGGTAAGGTTTGACTATGTTCATTCCGTAGAGCTACTAAAATTATGTAAAAGCCCATAGTTGCTCCCTCAAAAAGTTATTCCAAACGCGATTTTATAACGTGAATATTTACAGACTACGAGAGAACTTGAAGCGCCCTGTTTCGCGTAGCTAGATAGAGCATCGAAAGTTACATATTTGTTTCCCTGAAATCCAGTTTTTATCGTCAATATGTAAAATAATTTTCATTTGGGGAGGCTCAGTGCTTTGGACTAAAACTGTACTTTTTCCAACGGTCACAGTGAACCTAAAACAAAATCCCACAAAATTTAAAGTCAAATGAAAGTGACTTCCAAGCTTGTTCGAATGACGCAAGAATGAAGCTTTTTACTTCTTCATGGTAAGCTTAGCCATGAGATCCACTTTGGTTCTACTAGATCTACTTCCTCGAAAACTACACGTAAACTTTTTGAGATATTGTTATCTCACACACCACTCGACTAGTGCTACAGAAGCCGTTAGGTCTTGACTTTGGCCAGGTGATTTTCTTGTGGCGGTTTTTTAGAAATCCGATCAAAATTCTAACTGCTCATAAATATTATATCCAAACTAGTTGGGATTCCTTTTCAGCATGTAAATTCATCGCTAATTTAGTATTTTTTTCCGTTCCTGAACTAGCCAGATGATAGCATTTTGATCGGATTTCCACAAAACTGCCACAAGAAAGTTACCTGGCCAAATTCAAGATCTGACGGCTTTGTAGCACTAGTTGAGTAGTGTGGGATAACACTATCTCGAAAAGTTGACGCGTAGTTTTCGAGGAAGCAAGTCTGGTAGGACCAAAGTGGATCTCATGGCCAAGCTTACCGTGAAGAAGTATAAAGTGTTACAGACTTCATTCTTACGTCATTCAAACAAACTTGAAAGTCGCTTTCATTTGATTATAAATGCTTTATTAGGTTTTGAACTCGTTAAACATGCTAGAAAACGAGTCATATTTGCTAATGCATATAAGGCTTGCCAGTCAAAAATGTTTTCGAAATGTCAAAGGAGGAAATCTCATTTGCGGATAGAAATCCATCTTTTTATCCATATATGCTCTTTGCGGCTAGCAGTATGGGAACGCTTGAAAGTATTAGGTAAGGTCGGATCTGGCTGTTCTGGCGCCTCTAAAAACTCTTCAATTCACAACTTATGGTCGAGAAAAAACCGTGTTCGGAATGACTTTTCCAGAGGCGACCGGAGGATTTTACATACTTTTAGTAGTGCTATCGGTTACATATAGTCAAACCCTCCCGGCTCTAGGTCGTGCATAAAGTGGGCGAATCTGTGCGGAAATATCCTTTTGTGATTATTTAGTGTAGATATATAGCATCTGACGTTAACGTTTAATGGATAGAACATCACACAATTTTCTAGTCATAATATTTTAATACTTCATAAAAGAATATGTAATATATTTAGAAATATGGTGTTGCGTTATTTCAATGTTACCAACGTTATCTCAATGAGTATGGTCATTTTGATATGCAAGATTTTCAAACTGTGGATGATTTACAGGAAAGATTTTTTCCGTTAGGATTATCAGACGCAACGGCAGATTTATCTGTATGTTATTTTTTTGTTGTGTTTGTTTTGTTCATCCTTTATTCAATCCTATTTTGTTTTATTTAGTTTCGTGCATTGATGGGTTGTTCATTGTGTTTATACTATTTGGCAATTGAACAAGATCCTAAAATTCAATCTGATGAAACTCTCGAACTATGTTTAACATCTCTATCATTTATTCGACTACTGATGAATCTAGCATTGAAAGATGATCGTTGGTCATGGTTAGTCTATAATGGAACAATTTATTTATACACAATGAGTAGATATTTAATGACGTTAAGTTATTCGGCTAAGGTAAGAGACTCCACGAATATTTTTCTGAATTTATGAAAAAACTTTTTTTGTTATTTTAGGTTCTTGATTATTTAGTTTGGGCAGCGATTAGTACCGAAATGTGTTTGCCTCTATTAGCAGTCGCATATTTACCATGGCGTTCAACATTATATTGTGCTGCTTGCGAAGCATTTTATGACACAAAAGTAGCACCAGACGCAGAAGTAAGTTTCTCTGTTTGATTATTTAAAGAGATTAACAAGTATCTTGTATTTTTTTTAGAAAGCAATAGCTGGTGAAGTAAGTTTTCTACAACATCTGACTAATCCCTAGTAAAAATCTTAGACACTTCTTAACATTATCTTACTAAGATCTTATAAGATCTTATCCTTTAAGATTTTGATAAGATAATCTACGATCTTATCGCTTAAGATCTTAATAAGATTTAATGACTCTGCTTTCATTCACCCTTTTGTTTTGCTCGCATTTATCTATATAAGTGACCGAAAATATGAGTGATTATACGCTTATTTTTCTTTCTGACTCTGCTGGTACTTGCTCTTTCGAAAGTGTTCAACAATTTTTAAGAGAGTGTACATGCAGGTCAAGGTCCATAGTTGGACACCTGAAAGTATGAAATTTCTCTTCATTCTTCAACTTGGATAATGCAGATTAAAACTTGAAAAATTTTCAGTGAATCTCGGATAAACATTATTTAAAAAACGTTATCGTTCTCGCTATTAAGGTCCTAATATATTCTTATCCAATCTTGAAAAAGTCTTAGACAGTACAATCTTAGTACGATCTTAGAAAAATCTTATTAAATCTTAGAATATTCGGGTCTCACGATCTTAGTAAGATTTGTTTAAGATCTTAGACAAATGTAAGCGAAATCTTACTAAGATCTTAGTAAGATTTTTAGTAAGTTTTTCACTAGGGATGTTAAGCTATATCTATTATTGCTTTTTAGAATTTTGCTCGACGTGCATTAGAACAATTTAAAAATTTACATGAATTACAAGCAATAAGTATTGAAGGTGACAAATGTCAATTTGAAAATGAATTTCGTTATGCTGCTATTAAGGTTTGTTCTTTTTTTAGCTGTTGATATGACTTAAAAAAATTTAAATACAAAATGTACTTTTCCTATATTTTTGAAAACATCTCCCTGATAACAACATTTGTGCGTATACTTGACTTTTAGATAGCCACAATGATTTTCAAACGAATGGTATATGAAAGCCGTCGTAAATCAAAAGGAATATTACGACCAAAAGTCCGTCAGAATTATAAAGAACAGTTACAAACGGCATGGCCTAGAACTCATACAGAAAAATTGTTAAGTGAAATGTTTGATTGTCGTGCGGCACAATTTTTAGCCATATTAGAAGCGTTAAATGACCTAAATCGCCGTCTAGTGTTAACATCACCGGCTGCCTCAGACAATGATCCAGAAATTTTAGATGTTACGCTAGAATTATTTTATGCAGCCGATTATATTCTACAAGGTATGAATATATACCTCTACTTTTTTTTAAATATTCTTTTATGATCTTACATTTGTTTTAGTTAAGCATGCGAATGTCAATCAGATTGACGGTGCCAATTTGAATCCAGTATATCCAAACATAACCATGGCACTATCGATGAGTTTATTAGATTTAGCTATTAATGGTGATTTAATATATCAATGCGTTTTTTTTTTTAAAATAAGCTTTTTTATCTTTCTTTTTAGAGCAATATGTCATACCATTTCCCAGTGTTATTCAACTAATTAAAAATGCCTTTAATTATGAAGTGTTTGATGTATTCGAACGTTTACTAGAGCCATTAAACACATTAATCGCCGTAAGTATATTAAAATGTATATTTTATTCTTTCTTATTTTATTCTTTCTTTATAAATTTCTGACTATTTTTCCTAGATATCTTCTCCGAACGAGCAAAAGTTGCCGTATCAAACAATTTTATCACTATTGGAATTGTTACATGAAATAACTGAATGCGAAAAAGAACAAAAATTAGCGGCCAAACAACTACAATTGCAAGCAACGGGTAAAGATGATGATAAAAAAGGAAAAAAAAACGAAAATCGTACAAAGAGTCCAAAAACGAAGAAGACAAGTAAAGAACGATCAAGAAGTCCAACACCAGCAACAAAAAAGAGAAAAACAAAATTAAAAGGAAAAGATGTTCAACCGGCGCAACAGCAACAAATAGATGCAAAACGAGTAGTGTCAATGAAAGATATAAATCTTACAGCCGAAAATGAAGGTAATAAAATAGTTGTTAAAAAACGTCTATGGATCCCTCTTTTTCGACTCGGATATCTCGGCCAATGTACATGGTAAAATAGTAACTATTAATATAAATAATTTTTTTGTTTAGATGGCGAGGAAGAAAAAAGTTTAGAAGACTATTTAGAAGATTTGTGTAATCTACTGCTAAATGAAGGAAATATTGTGAGTCACTTCGTTCATTTACCATAACCTTGTCACTTTTTATTGAACAGAACTATTTTCTTGTTAATGTCGATCATACTTGAAACATGTTATATGATTGCAGCTCTAATACTTTTTAGTTTTTCATATTTAGCAAGCAGTGATTGAACCTGACGTATTGATTGATGTTAGTTTACTCCTATGGAATAAATGTCGCCCAATTCTACGCCGATATTACAATGAACCATTAGACAGTCAACGATGGATAAGTCGTTTAGATCATGATCATTTAAAAGTGAGAAATACTCTTTACAGTAGAGAGTATGGAATAAACTTTTTTATGTAAATATTTTAGTGGCTAAATTTATGTTTAAAAACTCATGAAGTTTTAACAAGATTTGATTTAGCAACGGTTGATCCCTGTGCTTATGCAGAATGTTCATTGCGTCTGGGTCAAATTCTCTTCAGTCTTGTACAACCGGATTCGCCATTACAATGTGAGTTTTATAGAATTTTTAATTAATACGTTAAATATAGTTTTTCGGTGAGAATAAAACAGTTGATTCATAAAAACACCCATAGCATAAAAATCGTCTAACTTTTGCCGATTAATCGCGATTTTGACTCAAAATGGTGATTAATCGGGATTTTTCTGCTGGGTTTTCATACCGACAAGCCAAGAAAATTGCCGATTAATCACGATAAATCGCACAATTAATCGGCGGTTTTTTGGCTTGTCGGTATGAGAACCCAGCAGAAAAATCGCGATTAATCGGCAAAAGTTAGGCGATTTTTATGACATAGGTAGTCAAATTATTGATCTGGAGTTTCATTGTGTAATTTTTTAATATTTTAGCTAATGCTCGTAATTTATGTTATAAAAGTCGTATTGACCAATTACGTGTCTTTCTCTCTCAGACGTTTGCACAACCGTTTGTTCAAAGTTACGTGCAAGAATTTAAACGTGGACAACAGCAATCAGCAAGTTCACAAGGCGATTCGGCTTCAAATCATGGGACAGGTGTAATAAATACTATTGGTCAAGAAAAACAGCAACATCAACCATTATTACCGTTTGATAATGATACACTATCGTTGTCAACTAATTTTCCTTTACTGCTCTTTACAGAACAATTGTTAGAACGCTCATTACAGACAATGGCACAAGCGAGAGCGAGTCTAGTTAAATTTGATGGATCAGCTATGTATGATCGAAACTGGCAACCAAAATCAAATGATGAAGAATCAGACTCATTAGGTGAAACGAGATTTTTTGCTACACAACCATTTCAATATGAAAAAGGTGTTAGTAGTAAACCAATTGGAAATTTAATCAAAGATTTGGATGCTGAATTATTATTTATTTATTGTCGTGTTATCTCTTTGCTTGAACAATTACCAGAAGCACGTACGTTTATATTTCTCTTTTTAAAAACTGGTATGATATCTAACTCTCACTTTTCAGGAATGATTAAGAAAGGTCCAATTGATCAATATTTGAATGAAGCAAAAGGTAATTCGCATAAAAAAGCGCTGATATGTGCGGCATACGCATCAACAAGACGAGATGAAAAAATGGCAGCTGATTATATGCAGGTAAAAAAAATGAAATCGTATACTAGCTAATAATGTATTCGTTGTTTTTTATTCTTTCTAGAGAGCTTATAAATATTTAACGACAGCTGAAGAAGAAGATCGTTTGTATTTTTGGCATTTACTCAATAATCCGTCACTATTGAAAAATCAAAATGAAATAACTACAACTACGATACCACGTCCACATATTATCGCCCGTGCTCCTGAATTTGTATTTATACTTGCACCAGATTTTGAAGAATTAGACACAAAAGTAAATTAACATGTTAAAAACGTTTAAATTTAAAGTTAATTATTGACTAATATTATTAGGTTGGTTCATATCGCATATTTTGTCGAGCGGTAGATCGTCCAAATGCTAAAGCGCGAATGGCTGATACATATTATCCAGGTACAGGGCAACAAGTGAGTATTCAGTTTTCTTTTTGACAAGAACTAAAACGTGTGATTAAGTCGTTAATCTGATAATATTTAGTCATTTTTTTTTGTCTTCTGTCTTTCCATTACCGCGAAACGACAAATCGAATATTTATTGATTTTTTCCAACCTTTGAATGCATTTCCAATTTTGTGCCTAAGTTAGAATCATGGTATAGAGTTCAGAAAATCAATTTGGATGTAAATGTGCTTGAAATAGTCTTTGTACATGTTTAAAATTATTAAATGCGTTAAATGACTTAAAATTCTTAATTAGCATCAATTCAACACAGTAACACAATCTGGCAAGTTTACATGGGTTATCTAATCATAAATAAACTATTAGGGTTTTCTAATTTTTCTATAATTCTTAATAAAAACGGGCCGGTATTATGCTTACTATATGATATCTACTCTTCTGTATGTAACATCGATGGATTTCATCTGATTTTTATCGGTATATTATTGCCTGACGTATCAGCATATTAGTCGGATAAATTTGATATGATTTAACTTATGAATCTGATTTTTCCTAGATCCAAAAAGTCGATTTTGGGCACATTTGAGAAACTAGTGTTTTCTACATATCAATAATTTTATTTTAAAAACAAGATTTTTCTACAGATGACGTAAATTCCTAGTGAAAATTTTTTAACCAAGATCTTGAATTCTTGATTTGGGGAATAGAAATTTCAAGATCTTGAAATTGGTACCATAACTTTTCATGGTGGCGTAATTAGAAACCTGTGAATGCCTATTGAACTCCTCTACAAGGGCGCTTTCGCGCCAGGAAACTGATCATTATTTGTATCTATATGTGTGTGTGTGTATGTGGTGATGGTACTGCCTGATCACTAACGATATTTTCATACGGATGTGGTATTTATTTTTCCTCTGAATTCTCCACCCAATGAACACCCAAATCGAGAAAAAAATTTTCATTAACTTATTAAACCAACGTCTCGTGTTTAAAGTACAAGTCATGTATTTCATATGCCATTTCGAGATTTCGCAGCTTTTGTCCAAATACCTAGATAATCCGAGGGTTCTCATATGCTCAAAAATTTTAAATTATTTTGACGCTGTTAGTCCCATTTCAGTTATACTGGGCTTTGTGGGTGCTTTGTGGGTTTAGTTATACTCGTTTACTACTTCTATGTCAGACTTTCATATAAATTTAAAGGATTTTATTTCTAGATTCCGTCAAGTTTTAAGAAACCAGTCAAAATCTCTGGTCTTAATCCTGATTTGAAATATGTATTTTCCATTGGCATTTACGACGTGAATGGACAGTTAATTGGTGAAAGTGTCAGTGAATCGACTGAGCCAATATTAGCAGCTCATCCGACATCACTCTTGCTTATACGTTGCATACTATCACAAGTAATATAAGAGGTTTTTATCAGAGATATTCACAGTATCTAAGTTTAATAGTTTCATCGAACGAAATGTATGAATATGTTTCATAGGGCTCTTGCAAGGAAAAGAAATGTCTCAGGCAAAATTATAACACATGTTACATTCAGTTAATAAGCTCTTCTTCTTTGTATGTCCTGCAAATAAAAATATCCACATTCTTTACTTTTTTTGTTCAGGTTTCATATCAAATTAAACAATATCCTGTAGCTAAAAAGGTGTTTCATTCATTATGGACCTATTTTGTTAAAACACCACAAAAAATTGAAACAACCGTAAAAGAATTGGTTAAAGATTCACCATTAGTTTTATATGAGTAGGCATTTCTATGAACATAGGACAAGGACGTTTAACAATAAAAATATTTTGCTTTTTTTTAGAGCGAGATATTCTCGTTTAACTGAAAGTTCAATATCACTGCTCCAAAAATTCATCAATTCAATATTTATTGATTTGGAAATATTCATTAAAGAGAATCATTATTACTGTGATTTAATAACTCCAAATTCTAATTTACGTGTCCAACAGGTATTAAATAGACAAAATTTGATGTGAATGGATAGAAAAGAGTTCTAGTAGCAGCATAGAGGTTTAAAGTCAAAAACAAACTTTGTACAGTTTTAGAATAATGCAAAAACTATAAACTATTATTTTCAAAAAATTTTCACACATTACTGGCTTTATTTTTAGATTAATCGTATCCAAGCGTGTAGTAAAGCATTAACTGCCTTGGAAGTATCGTGTTGGTTGAATGATTCAAGCTATGCTTTACAATCCATTATTTATGCCTACGGTTTATTGGCGCCATTATTATTCTTTAAAGTGACATATCCAGCTATTTATACGGTTTGCAATTGATTAAATTGAATCTTTTACGAGTTCTATCAATGATTAACTAATTTTATTGTAGATACTTGAAAAATGTTTATCAGCGCTAGATGAACTTCCTTCTTCAACATTTAAACAACGTACACGTAGTGTTCAAGAAAATATTCATCATATGATTGCGTGTATTGTTTATTACATGACCAAATATCTTCAACAAAATGATGAACACAAATTGGCGAATCTGATTAATTCAGTTGGAAAAAAATTTCTTACTGCGCCAACAACATCAACAACACAAACTAAGGAAACAATTACTGCAGGTACCAAAAAAAATTCGAGATAATCAACTGTATGGAGCTGAAAAATTGTTACTTTAATATGAAAAAAATGTTCAGAATCATTTCCATGAAGATATTTCTACTGTTGGTTTCCTTTGTGGGCATAATTAACAATATGTTTCTTAAATTCTTTATTTTAATTCTATATGCTTTAGATGCTCCGGTTCTTCCTGAACATACATCCAGTGGTAGTTTAAGAACCGCTGATGCCTCTGTATTGCCAGAAGATGCCCTTGAACAATTGATGCCAAAAGCGTTGAGTAATCATTCAGCGATTCATAATGAAGAGTTAAAAGCATTAGAATTGTTTGTATCTAAAGATAAATCTCAACCGTATACAGTATTAGTTGGAAATGAAGATCATTCACTTGTTTATGCTTATGTTACAACAGCACCAGTACGGCAGTCATACAAAGAAGGTAAAAAGCTAGACGTAATGTATTATTTAATGAGAAACAGCATACTTACGCATGCAAGGATTTGTTCCGCCATTGAATAGTACATTTATACACTTAAACTGGCGGAAAAAGTTTAACAACAAGATTATTTTTGTTCTTTCTCATGAACTCTAGTAGCTACAATAAATCTGACGATAAATTCGTACAGCGCTGATTTCGATATGTGTGTGTATATGTATTATTCAAAAAATTTCAGCTTAACTCTGACTTCATAAATCCAGGGTCTCCAAAACCCCTAATTTTTTAAAATCCAATGCAAACATTTTTCCGTCATTTAGTAAGATCGAGCAAATACTACTCTTCAAAACGAGACCTACCACAGCTCTCCATAACCTTTTTTCGTGGAGTTATGACTTATACACTACAAGCTTCAAAGCGATCATCAGCCTATAACAGCTTTTTTTTTTCTCACAATGTTGTGCTGAGACTTCTGCTAGTGGGGCTTTTGGTGTAAAAGTCATAACTTAACGAAAAAAGGTTGTGGAGAGCTGTGGAAGGTCTCATTTTTAAGAGAAGTGTTTGCTCGATCTTACTAAACGATGGAGAAAATGTTTACATTGGATTTTAAAAAACAGGGTTTTTCGATTTATGGAAAACTGTTTTTTTAAGAAGGTTACAGTTAAGTTGGAATTTTTTGAATAATATATATACACACACATATCGAAGTCAGCGCTGTACGAATCTATCCTCAGATTCATTGTAGCTACCAGAGTTCATGAGAAAGAACAAAAATAATCTCGCTGTTAAACTTTTTTCCGCCACTTTACAGACCGAAGATTTAATTTTGATACTGACTTCTTGAAAATCGTTTATTTTGTTTAATCTAATTTTAGTTCAAAAATTTCGTAAACGAACATCATTCTTAGAATATATGGTTCATGTATTAACAAAATCCGTTCTTGAATCAAGTTCACAAAACGAAGATATTCTCGGCTGGTATGATGAAACACAAACATTTTTGTCGAAACGAAATGAGTTGATGTTGGGACCGTGGCGTATGATTATTAAAAAACAAGATGGTCTCGTTCAAATCCAAGGTAGTAATGAAAATAAGTATGCAGCAGCTATTACAGAATTTAGCCCGGAACGATTAAAAAAGAAAAAAATACAACAACAAATGAGTCTACCAGCAACAATCCCGGATAAAAAGCAAAAAACGAAACAAATGTTTACAAAAAAAATGCTACGCTCAAAACCAAGCAAATATCATTTTTTAATACCAACTGGTACAACAGAGCAAAAACGAGTAGAGCTAGAACAAAAACAAAAACCGGTATGTGTTGAATATATGAGATTTTATTTAAAATTTCCTTTGATTATATCACAGGCGCTTAAGTTGAAGTGGACCACACTTTGTATTTTAGTTATATCTTGATCCTGTTTTAATATTTAGACATACTATAAAAGTTTGTATAAAATAGCTATAAAATAGATTCCATTCCATTTGGATTTAGTTACGGAGATCGAAATAAGTATCAAATTTTTACTCTGAACAATCTTCTGTTAGAATGCCGATTAAGAGCAATTCTACTTGAAAAAGAACAATTTACTATTTAGAGCCTGTTCAGTCCAGGTCGGATCTGCAGGAATCTGACCTATGACTGAGATCTAGTCAATTGAATCTTAGCCTAAAAAAATGAATTTGTCATATGTTGCATGAACGTGTATATATCACACCTGGATCTGGACCTAACTTAGAGGTTAGGTCCAGCAGACGGTGACTGGAGGTCCGAAGTAGCACCAAATGCAAAGAATTCTATTTGGCTAAAGCTGTTTAGTTCGCCATAGTGTACCTTGTCAGGTAAAATATACGAGGTCGTCAAAATACGAAAAAAGAACGTGCTTTAAACTCTTGTGGATTGATTCGAATCATCCGATTCTTCTTTTCTTTTTCTGTCCTTTTCCCAATTACAATCCATATTTTGAACAGTCTTTTTTCAAAATAATGATTAGCGTCAGACCAGATCGTTTTGAACTATTTGCATCAATTTTAGAAGTTCACTTCGTACCTCAGGTCTACGCAAAGTCCAAGTTACGAGCCAGACCAGGTTCAACCTCACTTCTAACTTGCTCGCCTTTCAGAGTTATAAAGAGCCTCTCTAAAATTAGTATCTCTGAGACCTTTTGATACGTGATAGATCTGAACCAAATCTACCGTTTCTGATAGCAACGAATAGTTCTTAACAATGATAGTTTAAATATTTTTGCTTCGTCTCTTTATGATTTCTTTTGATCAAATGCTATTCCTCTGAGACTGATCTATGTTAGGTGGTAGTTCGCACATCTCTACCCACTTATTTCTTATGTATCATTTTACCTCGATCACCTATGGGATATTTCCTAAAGATGTGTGATGTCTCATCCTGTATAAAGCTGATGATTTTGCATAAATAAACAGAGTGTGAAACGATCATTTTCTCATCTTATTATCATCCATCCGACGATATAGAGTTAGTCACCTATTATTGGTGCATTCTGATCGACTAATTGTCAATCCAACAGGTGGCAATTTAATATTAGGCAGCGAACATCTAACTATCTGTACTGTTTATCTGTTAGGTCAATTATTCCTATTCCAAAGAAAAACGATATTCCTAACAGAATCGTGTGGTTCTATTTTCAGCGGAATGTAATATTTTCAATCTTTATCAAAATAGACAGAGGTCTTTAGTGCGTGAACATCACATTTTCTCTAATTTCACAATCTTTTTAGAAACAGACATTGTTACGGGACTCAGCGTGTTCGACTATGTATGCTCCATTCGTTCATAAATATGTTGTTGTAAATGTAAATATTTAAGAGATGCTCCCTGAGAAAACAGACCTTTCTGGGGTATCACAGCATCTGGCCCATCTCAGGTTTTTTTCCTTGTATGCTAGAACGAAAGAGCATCTCAAAAAACTAAGAAATTCATACATCACTAGATAGAGTAGATAACAGGCTGCAAATGCTGTTGTTGTGAGGTTATTCAGAGCTATACTCGGATCGCTAGGCCTGGAATACTTGAAAAATGACATATCATCAAAGCGTTACCGTTTAAAGTATTTTGAACCTTTTGACATGCTGGTTACGAAACCCCACGGATATTTTTAATTTTATATGTATATTGATTGATTCTGCATCGAATGGTACATATGACATTTAATAAAAAGATGAGAACAAGCCGAAAATATTGTCTCAATGTAGTGCAGTTAAGGGCATTTTTGGTAACTTTTTGTTTCGATGTAGACTCTTTATTTTGATTCGATCTATTGCCAAATTAAACTATCTTTTCGATGAGAATGAACAAAGCGCAGTGTGTTTATGTGTAATAAGAGTAATCTCCATCAAAACTCTGGACTCTAGAGGTCATATAAGAATCGGGGTGGTCTTGGACAGTGACTTCAGAGCCCTACAGGCTATTCAGCCATGTGGCGGCTAATTTTGTAGAGAATTGGATTTGAATAAAATGCACAATTTCGATTTCTTTTTTTATATCACAAACAATTTTTTTTAGCATCATTATGTTTTTCTGTGCATGAGCTGTGATATAACTTTCAAGTCGGACAGTGATATGGAAAGATTATACGAATCTGAAACTTTGAAAATCAATATAATCCGATATGCAGAAGAAGCTCCTGGAGTCAGAATTTTAAAAGACTTGTTGAGTTTTGAGAGGATTTTCTAGAGACCACTTATAAACCCCATTTATTTCAAAAATGATTTTTCGAGGACATCTGAATGTTGTCAATCGAGCACAGCTGCATCTTTTCTCAACTTTTCACATCATTACAAAGGGAGCTGGAAGAGATGGTAATTAAACTTTCGCCGCTCACTTTATGATTATTGCCTTACTCCTTGATCTGAATAATTACGTTATACCTTTTCAATCTAAGCACATGCCAACCTGAAAATTATTGCATGAACAAAGTTTAGTGTGGTGAATCCTTATCATATCCAAATTTTACAATAATAATAACATCCATTTTTGAAATAAATAGGATTTTCTAAGCGTCTCTAGAAAATCCTTTCATAACTCTACAAGTCTTATAAGGTTCTGACTCCAAGCGCTTCTTCGAAATTGTACATTTTGTTCAAATCCAATTCTCTACGAGATTAGCCGTCACACGGTTCAGACCGGAAGTGATCGGTTTTTTGACGAAGCCTCTCTTAAACTATTGAAAACTCAGTCTGGTTTTTTGAAGAAATCGATTCAAATCCTTGTCTTTTGAAAAGATGGTGTATCTTTCAATTTTGTTCTATAAAATGATATCTTCTGGTCTCGTCTATTGATTTCTATCTTTTTTTCTGTTATTAATATTATTCAAAAAATATTCGCGAGCACTTAACTTTGAAAAAAAAGCAAGGTCTTTTTTTGCACTCTTTTTCTAAATAAAAAGAAAATTTACAAAAAAATAACAACCTTATTGCTACTTTTATTTTTTATCAAATCTATGAACTATCGTATTATATTTACACCGCTAGATTAATTTTAACCTTTTACTCACAGTATCAAATGTAATACACCTTTTTTTTTTCATAAAATGTAATAATAAGAATCCAAATTATTTTTGAGATTATTTACCTAACTTGATTGATCTGTTTCAATACAAACTAAAAGGCAGAAGGAAGCAAATGTTCTATGAGTGCCCTGTTTTCATGTGTAGTAATAAATCCAATTTTGGAAAGAAAAAACAAATGGAATTGATATTTTCAAACCTATAAAACTGTATGAGTAGTGTTATATAATTTCATTAGACACCCCTGTTACTTGGTATTTTCTTAACTCCATCGTATAGACAAGATAAAATTTCATCGTAAACGCTCAAAATTTTCTTTGTATTATTATGTTTTATAGTCAATAGTGAATAATTTATTTGTGATGATGTTAATAAATTATTCAACATTATTCCTTTTAGGAATTTTCTAAAGTAAAGTTTTACTTTAAATGTTGAAAATAATATCGATGCATTGTTATAATTTTTAGAGAATATTAGACGTTCAGATACATCGTTATATTTCGGTGGTTTGTTTCTAGCGTATGGTCGAAAGTTTTTGTACACTTGTGAGCTATATTGACATGAGAGAGAATAGTAAAGTAAATCATTGATGGATTCCCATGGACGAGGTTGAATATCGAATTGTGTCAAGTCTAAAACAAGAAAATTAAAAATTAAAAATATATTTGAGAAAAAATTACAGAGAAATAGACACATACCTAGATGAGAATATATCTTTTTTGTTGTTTTATGGTATTTGAATAAATTTTGTAAATTTTTTCTTGTAATTAATTCACTTTCATTTGGATCTTTATATTGTGGAATATCATAGTCGACATCATATTTAATAGTAAAAACTATAAATCCTTCGTTGACATATATTATTGATGATAGAGGACGATCTGATCGTTCGGTTTTGAAATATTTATGAGCGACTTTGACAAATGATATTAGCATTAGTATCATAGCCACGAAACGTATAGTTTTATACATTTAGATTATACAATCAACAAGAGAAAAGATTGCCATACAGTAAGATGACCTATAAAAAATAACTGAATTATGTACGATCGATTTTGATTTACATACAGTTACTTTTGTTCACTGAGAGACAGAATAGAAAAAAATTCAATAAATTGACAGTTATAACGACGTAAAATAAAAATTTTCAAATTCTTCTTGTTGTTAAAAAAGGTATGGCAAAAGAAAAGCGAAAAGAACAAGAGCACTCGGATATGTTTACCCAAACATCTTATTCGTTTTGTTTAGTTAAGGTTAAAAGACTGCGAATGATCGTCATTCAGAAAAATTCATGTGATAGTTAAGTAACAGATTTTACCACTCGTTTCTGTAGCTACGCTGACATAGATGTCCAAATTTAACATGTGTTGAAATCCTTACACTAAAAAATTTGGATTTATTCGCACGTGTTAAATTAAAGTTATAAAATAAACAGAAAAAACAAGTTACTGACACAGGTGATTACCGGATATTTCTTAGTATTTTCTAGTTTTCTTGTTTAGAAAGAAACCTTAGTCTTTGCTATTTATATAGAATCAACGGGTGATTAGGTGGTATTTATAGTAAAAAAAAGAAACTTTTCCATCAAGGTTTATTCGGTAGTGAAAAGTGATAGAAATCTATTATCTGTTAGACATATTTAGTCAAATTTTGGCGTAAAAAGATCGAGGACTGAATTACTGTCTATGGCTACCCAAGGCCATGTGGTTGGACAATCGAATTTTGGAATTACAAATTCTGAACAAATTTGTTAAAAAACAGAAAAATTGAGAACAAATATTGATGTAGCCGAATGGAGCGAAGAAAGTGCTAGGAGAAAGAGAAAAAATATATATTGTCTCACTTAAAATAATGAAGAAAACAACATTTACAAAACGAGACACATAAGAACCATAAGAAAAACAACGTCAAAATAACGATTAGATATTGATGTTTTGCTTAGGACCGCAAATAACGGGAGGATATGGAATGGTGCTCACCTCTGCGAATAATTGAAAAGCTGTTGTTATTTTATCCATTATTCCTCGCATAAAATTTTTTTTTTATCAATTTCACACTGTCTCAGAATACACCCGGAGAGGAGAAACGCTTGAGATAATTTTCATCATTCAAATGGTACCGCTTTATCAGAATCATTCATAAATTTTCATGTATTTTTATGCTCCATCTATTCTGATTAAACAAGATCAAAGAATATTTTACTCGCTAATGGCAAACCTCTTATAAAATCGTACAAATTATTACATAGGTAATAAGAAAGAGGTTATAGTTTTAATTTGTTTTTCCTCCGGCACACATCTACTTATTTATGATATTAAAAGCAACAAAAAGGTTAACTAAATAGTGACATGTTTTAATAAAATCGAAATTTTTTTATTCCCATCTTCTATATACTCTTTTTAATCATTAGAGCTTAAACGAAATTTCTATTAATGAAAATGAAGGACAAACATCATCCGTGATTATTTTCATAGAATAAACGGTGTACAAAAACAGATTTCCATACAGAGCTTTTTTTAATATTATGTTGTACAGTTAAAAAAATGTATTCTGAAAAAATATAAACTTTAAATTACATTAAATACTGTAAAATAAACATCACAATGTATTTTTAAGTAAAAATTAAATTAATGATTTAACGTTGAAGAATGATTTTATATTTTAGTTCTTTTATTTCTTTGGATTGTAAAGTAAAATTTCCGGCAATAATGGATCCATCACGTTTGAAATCGTTTGTTTGTTGTGGAAAAATAAATAATCTTGATGTCATGTCTTGCATGTATTCAACAAGAACAGAACGTTCTTTAAAATTTTTTAAATTAAGAGTAATTTCATATGTTGTATTCACAGTATATACATAACCAATATTACCATTTGGAATATTACCACTTTGACTATTCTCAACAGATTTACTAGATTCATTTGTTAATAACATAATAGTTTCACTATAAATAATATCGGGATCTTGTCCGATCGAAAATATGTACGAATTGTTAGCTGCTTGATCAGTCCACATAGTTTCGCCTACTAAACGATTATTTTCTCTTACTAGAACATTTCCTTTTAGTAAAAATTGATCACTCTTTAAACGATAGGATCGTTGAGCATTTCCATTATTATTTGTTATTTGAAAATATTTTCGTATTGAACCGTAACGTTCAATTTCAATCGTTGATCGAATTATCGGTAACAGATAGTTTGATTTTGCATCAATAATAAATGGTTTATCAATTGTGAATAAATATACACCAGCAAGTTCTTGACCTATGTGAGTGGGAGACATAGTGGTGTAGCTAACGTCGTTATAAAGTCCTGCGGCTGCATTACCACTACCTGCACTTTGATAATATTCATTGTTATAAGATGTTTGTGATGGTCCCCTAATATTAATATCACCGCCAAATAATTCAGCTTGTTCAATCTGTACCGCATTTAGACCACTATTTTGCATATCAGCATAGCCAATTAACAGTGTGTCATTATCATCTAATAAAAGATCGTAGATTGTTCTCCATTTTAACTGGTTACTAATCATTTGTAAATAAAGCTGTTCAATATTCGATGTTTCAAATGTAAAATCAACAATAATTTTATTTGTTGGTGGAATATCAAAGTATTTTATTGTTTGACTATATAATACGGTATAATATGTGTTATCAGAAAGATCTTTTACCAGATTTATTTCATCATCAATCATAATGGCTTCAACAGTGTTTGAACAATCATCTTTACATATAAGAACTTTTTGACCATTTAAAGATTTTTTCTGTTGTGTGATAGTTTGTGAACTAACGTGGACGAATTTGCCGTTTAATCGTATTGTTTCTGGTCGTATATGCTCCAACTGTTTTGGTGAAAATTCAACAGGAAATTGAAATGCTGATATTTTATAGGCTATTTCAGCCGAATTTACGTACAATTTTACTCTTGCTAAACTACTGTTAGTTATCGACGAAAAATCTTCACTTTTTATAAAAGTTATCAGATGTAGAAAAAATGTAAATAATTTTAAAGTAGTATTCATTTTTAGCATGTATTTCCGATACGATTCTCAATCGTACGGTTAGGGTACATATATATCCATTTTAAGCCTACTCTCTTTCATTTTGTCGCATTTACAAGTGAAGGCCGGATTAAATAGTGACGTCTGATGTGGGTTGTAATACATCTTTTTTTATCATAACTGTATGTCATTGAGACTGTTTAAAGGTTAAACGGATAGTTTATGAGTAATTACCATGTTTAAACAAAACCCACCAAACTTTATAGAACAGCATGAAGTATGATAGTCCAAAGTCTCTTTTCTCTCACTACGCTAGTTTTTTAACTCCTATAACACATTTTCAAGTGTTGTCACCAAGTTTTTTTAGAGGATTCAAAGAAGAGTTATATTAGTCAAACAACTGTCAATTTTAGAGAAGAAATATCTACTCGGACACATAACTATACAATATATATATGCATCAGACTATAGAAAACTATATACAATTTTTTTGGAACTCGACGTTCTCAAACGATCGAACTTTTTGAAACTAAAAACTAACTTGCTTTTTACTCAAAAATTAATTTTTTTCTCGATAATGAATACCAGTTACAAGATTTTTCCATTAAATTTAATAACTCCTATCCTATTTTTGATTTTTTTGTAATTCAAGTTCTTGTGAAAAAAATTTTCTGATGATTTTTGGATTTTGCAAGGAAAAATATGAAAAAAATCAGATTCTTGTACGTCATTCCTATGTCTATTTCAGAAGTTTTAAAATAAACTCGCGTTTTCTTCATTAATCTGACTGGGAAACCTTGTAGTTCGTAAATGTCACATTTTGACCAGTATTTCAGCGTCCTCAACGAATGCTGGTAGATCGAGTCTCGAAATCTTTAACGTGACCGATATTCTAATATAACATCGGACACACATTACGGCTCAATTTGTAAGTCCCATACCCAACAACTTTCGTGCAAATCAGCAACAGCCGGTACATCTTTCTGACATACGTTAACAACACGCACACGTTTCAGTCTTATCCAATCTAATCCTACTTCTATGGACACCCACATCGGCATAGCCATAGCTCCGGTCGCTTAGCGAATGCTCACATCGGCCAGACTAGCACATCGTGACGGCGCCGATAGCAAGAGGTATTTTTCTGCACCCATTTCGACACGTTTTTGAACATGATGTACAATTTTTTGTTGCGTATTGGCACCTAGCGCTCTCAAAGGCAAAATAAATATTACAAGGATTAAGTCTATACAGAAATCTCAGTTAGGGGAGATGGCATGAACAGGCCGTAAAAAACTGTACAAAGTGGTATATGACGCATGCTTAATAACCATAGAAAAAATAAACTTTCTTTTATCAAGTGGTATCCAGAATCGAATACTGTATGACTGTTTTGGTCCTTTTTTCCCATCAGTAAAAGAGGATCCAACCCGTGTTTGGTATAGGAAAATAGCACTTGAAAAGCTCTACAATGTATGTTAATAGGAAACTTAACGGAACCTAGCAGCGTCCTTTATAAATTTACTACTGGATTTTTCCATATGTCCAACTGAGATACTGCACTTAACCGACCTTTTTTATTGAACAGTACTTGGTCTGGGCTACAATATGTGATAAGTTTCAACATAAAATTCAAAACTTCGATTTTGCTTAACATCCAGGACCCACGGGAAAAATTCGAGTAAAAATTCGATATCTCAGCAACAAAGTTGATTGCGCCCGAACCAATTCGGGCTTCTTCATAGCTCATGAGGGTCTACATTTTAAAAATAGGTCCATTCAAAAAGGTTTTTAACACCTCAGAAGGTTCCCTCGTAAGATAGACCCAGTAAGGAACCTTGAGATCTCTACGGTTACTATATATCCCTGTTCTCTATTTTATATGTATATTTTTTTCTTTAGGCAATTGACAAACTATTCAATCTACTACCTGATTTATATCGTCAACGTCAGGCTCGTAAAAAGTATCGTCAATGGATTAATGATGAACTTATATGGAAATCTCAGTATGAATTATTGAATGGTCTATGTGCATATGAGAAAATTCCATTAATTATTCGAGAACATAATAAACTAAATGCTTTGCTAAAAGATAGCCGATATCGTTTTGATCGAATAAATGCAAATTTATTTTCGTATGATGAAGCCGATCTAATTATTATGCCCGTAGATAATCAATTACAAGAATCAAATGATACACAATTTCTTAGTGATAGAACGTTAGAAAAAAAATTTGAATTTAATTTTATTTATACAGATGTCAAAGATAGAATTGAAGTTATTAATGAACTGGTTACTGGTCAAATATCTGATCCAACTATTTATTTAAATCAGAAACCGGATGAAGTTGGAACAACACGTGATCGTAAAGCTATTAAAGATAATCGTAAACGACCCAGTCCACAACGAACGAGTCGACGTACCCCATCTCCTAAATCTCAAAATGCTTCACCAAATCGTCCTGGTGATATGGAGAACGATTTATATGGTTTTAAACGTATTCGTGCTTACATTGTACGTATGTTTACACATTATCGTCGTGCAATTGTCTTAGCATATCGTTCAACAAATTGGACTCTACTTCAAAATGTATGTAAATCATTTACAGATACTTTAGATAATTTGATAATTTATTTATGTTCATCATTGGATAAAATATTTCCTCAAAATGAAATATTAGCGTTGGGTTTTCAAACATTTTATTTAGCAAGTGAATGTTTAATTGATTTACTCTATCGAACAAAACCATTTTATTCTACTGATGATCAAGAAGATGGTACTGGTACAAATGTTATAAAACAACAATCAGCAACAAAAATAAATAATTGGTTTTCATCAAATGAATCTTCATGGTCAGCTGGTACATTTAATTTTGAACAACCAATGGATCGTCAAACATATCTAGATTTGAAATTTATTCGAAAATTTATTTTAAAATCTTTACAATCACTTTATTCAGCAGGAAAATGGGAAAAATTAACAACAACGGCAATGAAGTTTAATGCTCTATCAGATCATTATTTTGCTGATTTAGTAAGTCCATTATTAATTGCAGCTCAAAATTGTCTAATACAACGTGTAAGGGAACATCAAGGAACTATTGAACAATCTCATTTTGAATCGGCAATAAAAACATTAGGACGACCAATACATCCGGAAGATTTTTACTCATTAAGACCAGAAAAATTATTTCAATTTGCATTGCATGCCGATTCGGCATCATCGATTTCAATCGGAGCACGTCTCGATCCCAAAGGACACAATTTCTATGAACGTAAGCAATTGAATTTTTAGTAAATAATTCGGGGCTAACATATGTTTTTTAAAATTTTGTTTTATTTTTTCAGATAATAATCGAGCTCTCGAATTAATTAGTGTGCCACTTGATGTTGAATTTAGTCGAAAACTATTACGTATAGCTTTAGATAAAACATATTTTTCATCTCGTTCAATGATTGAATGTAGAAAATTGTTAACATTTTATGTTTATACTCAACAATTGCCGAAAGATTTTCTTACATTTCTTTCAATCAGCTCAGCAACATTTCGTCAAAATGATCAACAACAAGAACAACAGCAACAGACAATTGAATATCGACCATTGACAGCTGGTGGAGTTTTAGATTTTTCACCAGATAGTATAACAACGTCTCCGACAACTTCTGTGACGAAAGAAATGTTAATAGATGTTTACGAAAAACTTGCGAGTGAGTTATTGTTCTCATTATACGTGTTTTGAATGTTTATCATTAATTTTCATTTTTAGAATTGTTACTTGGACAAAATCGTCGTGATCAATATTGTCAGATAATGAATGAATTAGGTGATCTGTATTATCATTGTAAGAAATACAAGTAGGTATTGTTACTTTTTGATTCAAAATATGTTAATGTAAATGGTAGAGTAATGAGGAATGAAAACTTTCGGAGAATGATCACCATATCAAATTATGATGATGGAGCATTTTTTGTTGGCTCTATCTATCGCCGTTCGCGAAATATCGTTTCGACAGTTAAGATTTTCCAAAATTCCCATTCATTTTGAACGCTACATACCTCGAATTAGCTCTGTTTCGTAGAAAAATGCCGTCGCTTATACAGAATAGGAATTTTGAAACTTTGTGTTACTGATCAACATAAAACATTTTTGGGCAAAATCCCTAAAAACTTCTTTCACCGATCTTTCGTTTTTCTTACCTTCTCACAAGAAACTCAAAAATCCGGTTCTGTATCGTCAGAGAAACAGCATTTCTCTACAAAACGGAATCATTCCGAACTCTCAATACCTAAACTGAGTGAGAACTTTTAGAGCGTTGAAGAGGAAATCGATTTTAACATACGATGACGTTAGTGCACGATACCGATTTTAGAGCTCTTAGTAGAACTGTCATAACTTTTGATCAAAGCATTGCTTCAGTTGAGAGACATCAAGTTTTAACCAGAAATGTTTGCTCTGCTAATCAATATCACTCAAGTCGTTTTTGATTCTGGCATTTTACTGATATATCAGAATTTTCGACAAATCAGTTCTATCGAATTGTAACTTTCTGTGTTTGTAAGCCTTGTTTTCTTGTCCGTTGGTCAGTGAACAAATGTTATATTGTGATTTCTTCTGAATTCACCTTTTAATATCCAAAGATGCAAATAACTGATACACTCACACTTTATTATAAAAAATCA